GGGGAGGAAGGCAGCAAATCACACTGCCACGTGTGTTCCTATGCAACAATTTTGCATGTTCTTCACATGTACCCCAAAACCTAAAATGCAATAAAATAAATAAATGGGAAAAAAAAACATCTATAATGATTCAGAGATCCAAGTAGAAGAAGATGCCTTAATTTTGATATAATTCTAAAAGAATAATTATACTATACCAAATGGAATTTATTGAATGTACAAATGCTTTCATATTGAAATTAAAATAGGAGGCACTTTTTAAATGTTAACCAAGGAGCACACAGTGAAATGACTGTGTCCAAAGCTACAGATATGAAACATAAATGAGATAAAATATTGCAGAATTGAAACTGAGTTACTATTAATTATAAAGAAAATCATATTGAGTGCAAAAATGTCAAAATTATTTCAATGTCAAAATTGTTAAAAGTGTTAAATATGTCTATTATGCAAAAAGAAAACTGGCAGAAATATTTGTTAATTTAATTAAGTTAAATAGTACCAAGTAAGTATTGAGCTTGGAAATACAATTAGAACTTTTTTGAAACTACTAAAAGTATCACAATATATGGCAATTCTGAGAACTGCTGATGGAAAAACTTAAGGTAATCAAATTACCTTTCTTTGACTTTTCTGATACTAAAAAGTCTAATCATAATTTGCAGACATCAACTGTTCTCTGTCATCACTAGATCACTGTCTCCACTAAATACAAAATATACACCAAGTAGGTATGAAACCTATACATATTTACTATTTCTGAATAGAAAAGGGTAAATCAACTGGCTACATCCTATACATTATTACTGGCATTGTGAGGTATTGTAGAAATACCTCTACTAATCCTAGAAATGTTCTGACAGTTGTAGGAAAGATGGAACATCTGGCAGATTAATTTCCAAATTATACTAGAGAACTTTAAGAAGACAGATGTTATGGTTTTATACATCTCAATCTGACAATGATCAACAGTGAGAATTACACAAAATTAATTTAGGAGCACTTATGGATTGGCTTATGGTCTTGGACATCCTTTACTTCAATACAACTTAAGCTCATGATTCAGTAATTATTTCCATTTTCCTGCATGGCTTTGATGCTGGTCAGCTTGCAGCCCAGAAAACTCCCTTTTCCAGAAAACAGTACTTACTCTGTCTACTGATCCACATACTTCCTTTTCCTTGTAGACCTGGCCTCATAGATTGAAATATAAACTACTCACCTGATTTCCTTCTACTACTGGGAGAATGGGCTCTGGTTTGTAGTCACTACAGCCAGTGAGTGTGTAGGAAGGAGGTCTGAGATGTGGATTTGTGATCCTGTGACTTCACTTCCCCAGAAAACTACAATTATCACTTCACCTGTAGATACAATAGCAGTACATATTTGAAGAGTTAAAGTTATTTTCAGAAAACCAATTACCAAAAATAATGACAATGTTCTAATGTGCATCTCCAGAGACATAAAAATATTTGGGAGAGGTGATAAATTTCCACAATATCTGGAAGAAAATGGGCTCCTGAAGGAAGGAAGGAAGCAGGAAATGAAGGAAGCAGGAAATTCTGAGTCTGAGACATGAGAGACTGAAGCAAAGCATGTGTGTCTTACTGAATTCTGTGCTTCCCTGGGTTATGCATCTGCTGAAAACCTAATTTTCAGCTAATCTCCAAACTCTGAAGCCAAACTATTCTTTAAACAGATGGGATCACACAAAGAGTTTGAGAAGGAGGTGTCAACAGTTTACACTGCAGAGAAGAACTTAAAGTCAAACATTAATATAAAGAATAAATAGAAAACAAATTATACAATTCAATGCAAATTAATATTTAAATGTAGATAATATGTATTCTAGGAATATATATTTTATCAACATTTACCCCATAGAGACAGAGATTCTAAACTAAATATTTATAGAAGAAACAGAAGATTCACTAACGACCCCTCCTATCCATAAAAATGTACCAATTTTATGGATTCCAGAAGAAAATTCTACTCATGTACTAGTGAATATACCAATATATTCTAAACTATTTAAAAGCTATAATCATTCTTCTCAATCATTTTTAGGAAGGATAAATTGATATAAGAACTGTTTGCATGAGCAATGACTATCATAAAGTATTAAAAGATATGAATATGAAAGTAACATTTTTACATATTAGAAACAATTGTGTTAACACATTAAAATATTATAACATTATTAAGTGCCCTTTATGCCAGAAAGGCAAGTGAGATTCATTCTCAGGAAATTCTTTAATACAATAAATTACATTAATTGAATTAATGAGAATGTCATGTGCTCATGTTCATAAATGCAAAACAGATAATGTCAAAATGTCACAGAAAATTATATTTTAAATAATGTAATCATTAAGAGATTAGCAGAAAATATTTTTTAAACATAAAAATAGATTTGTAAAATGAAAAGTCATGACATTACATGATTAGGCAGGAAGACTCAAAATTATTAAGAAATCAAAAATACTTTTTTTTTTTTTGAGACAGGGTCTTCCCATCTCATCCAGGATGAAGTGCAGTGGCACAATCTCAGCTCACTGCAACCACCACCTCTTGGGTTCAAGTGATCCTCCTACCTCAGCCCCCTAAGTAGCTGGGATCACAGTTGTGCACCACCATGTCTGGCTAATTCTTTTATTTTTTGTAGACCCAGAATTTTGCCATGTTGTCCAGGCAGGCTGGTCTCAAACTCCTGAATTCGAGTAATCTACCTGCCTCAGCCTCCCAAAGTACTGGGATTACAGACATGAACCACCATGCCTGGCCAAGAAATAAAAAATACTTTAATAAATAAGATTTTAACTCCAACATAGGTATCATCTGTTTGTATTCTAGAGATAGAAAGTTTACTCTAAACAAGAATAAACAAATAAAAATGTCTATGAAAAGTCTGAAAAGAGAGTAAATCTCTCGTAAAATATTGTAGACTTTGAAATTAAAATTGTGTTGTGTTAATTCACAAACACAGTGAGAGACCAATGGAATGTAAAATTCAGTAGTAGACTAATATGAAATACACTGTACAACAAATGTAGCAGTGGTGAAAGAAGCCATGCAAGCTCAGTGTGTCTCCCTGGGGACTGAAGTTCACAGACATGCAGCACAGATTTCCTCTCACTGTGTTTACTCTCTGCAGGTCTGGTATTCCTACATGTGCAGGAAGAATACTTTGCCTTGCTGCAAGAACATTTTTAGCTAAAATCTAATGAATATGATTCCTACTGCCTCAATACTCATTGTAACCTGTTTTCAGAGCCCATAATATGCTTCCTGGTGAGATGAGATGTCACTGCGATTACTAAAACTTTATTACCTGCAAGTGACCCATGTCTATGTTTGTGAGTTATAGAACCACTCAGATATTATTGTAGTAATTCTGTAGTTGGTGACTTGCCTGGTGCAGGACTATCTGGAGGCTTCTTCTCTTACTGGGTCTGCAGGTGAAGAGAGTCTATATGAAGCATTCAGAGATACTGGAATGGGCCACTCCAAGGTGTTATGCTCTCAATGTATACCCCAAACTAACACAGGCAGAAAGTTCCATGTCCCTTTAGAAGAAGAAAAAATACATTTGGAAAGAATAATCATCATTGGTTGTGAAACAGACAGTCTTCAGAGCATGTGCTAAAAAAAACAAACACTAACAGATGTTCTATGGCTGGAATAAAAGTGTTTATTTGTTAATAGACGGTGGTGAGGCTGGATGGAAAAGGGAGCACATACAGAGTTAGTGGGAATTTAAATTAGTTCAGCCAGTGTGCAAAGCAGTTGATTTCTCAAAGAACTTAAAACAGGTACCATTTGACCCAGCAATCCCCTTACTGGTGCTGGGTGTGGTGGCTCACACCTGTAATCCCAACACTTTGGGAGGTCAAGGCAGGTGGATCACCTGAGGTCAGGAGTTCAAGACCAGCCTAGCTAACATGGCAAAACCCTGTCTTTAGTATAAATACAAACGTTTGCTGGGCACTGTGGAGGGGACCTGTAATCCCCGCTACTCAGAGGCTGAGGCAGGAGAATTGCTTGAACCCAGAGGAGGTTGCAGTGAGCAGAGATAATGCCACTGTACTCTAGCCTGGGAGATAGAGCAAGTCTCCATCTCAAAAACAAAAAACAAACAAACAAAAAAACCCAAACATAATAAAAGATAAAAATTCCCATTACTGGGTATATACCCAAAAGAAAACACAACATTTTACCAAAAAGTCATGATGTAAACCTGCATATGTACCCCTTCTATCTAAAATATCACTTGAAAAATATTTTAAATAAATATTTGTGAAAAATGTTATCTCACCGTAGGAATAAAGAAGAACTTTCTAACTAACTTAAGAAGCACACAGCCAAAACTAAGGACTAGTAGCAGGGCCAAGGAAAGCCAAAAGTGTCAGCATGCTTGGCACAAGCTGGTAGGTATTTGCTGAAATGACAGCTGCCCTGGGAAAATGAAAAAGTGTTACTCAGACACAATTATTGATTCTTCAATTTCTTGATTTTCCTGGGACAACTTTATCATTCTCTGACCTCCTGAGTGTGGTCAGACGTCTGCCTTTTAGAGGTAACTTGTTGGCTGCAAACTGTGGCATTTATTACTGTCCTTTGCTCAAGGAAGAGTGACCTCTCTAATCCCAGAAATGTCTACATCTGATGAAAGAAATCAAGGAACTAAACAAATGAAGAGATATACCATATTCATAAACAGAAAGACTCAGTATTGTTAAGATACCAGTTTTTCCTAATTTGTAGATTCAATGCAATTCCAATCAAAATGGAAGCAAATAAGTTGGAGAATATAGACAAAATCTGAAGTTTATATAAATAGGCAAGAGACCTTCAATAGCAAAACACAATTTTGAAGAACAAAATTGGAGGACAGACTAATCAACTTCAACACTTATTATAGAGCTACCTTAATCAAGAGTGTGGTATTGATGAAAAAATAGACAAACATATTGATGAAACAGGATAAAGTTCAGAAATAGAAACATATATTCAGTTTATCTTTGAAAAGGAAATAAAGGAAACATGATGATGAAACAAAGATTTTTTTTTCAGGAAGGGGTGCTGGAAAAAGTGAACATCCACATGCAAAAAAAAAAAAAAAAAAAGACAGAATCACAGACCTTACACCTTAACAGGAATTAACTCAAAATAGAGACCTAAAAATATAACAGAAAATGATAAAACTTACAGAACATGACAAAGGAGAAAACAGATTATTGGGCTTGATGATAACCTTTAGGAAAAACAAGAGTTGCAGTTCATAAAAGAAATAATTATTGAGCTGGATTTGATGAAAAT